ACAATATATAGTATGTCAGTATCTAAGTTTAATGATTGTATTAGTCCATTTTTGTTGCTTATAACAGAATACTTGAAACTAGGTAATTTATGAAGAAATGAAGTTTATTTCTTGCAGTTTGGAGGCTGGGAAGTCCAAGGTCCAGGGAACACATCTGGTGAGGGCCTTGTTCTTGGTGGTGACTCTCCACAGCAACAAAGGGTATTACACAGTGAGAATCAGCCAAGCAAGAGTAAGCTAAGCTTCTCACTTACTCTCCTTATAGAGCCATCATAACCACACCCATGTCCACTCATTAAATCATCAATGGATTAATCCATTCAAGAGGGTACAGTCCTGATAGTCTAGTCACCTCTTAAAGGCCCCAGCTTTCAATAACCATAAGATTTCCCACCCTCTTAGCACTATTAAAATGGAGATTAAGTTTCCCATACGTGAATTTTTGGTCATACATTTAACCCATAGCAATGATGTAATGTTTTATTTTTTCCCACAATTGTTACTTAATCAATGGTCAATTCAATAACCAGTGTTGCTTAAAAATAGAAAAATGCCATTTAATCATTTTTTATTAATCCATCACAATATTTCTGGGAACTTTTTGCAAATCGTTGTGAAAAGCAACTCTGAAATCTCCCATTTATGAACTGGGCTCAGTGCTAAACATCCATTAGCCATTTTAATCCTCCCAACAGTATTCTAATGTGGGTATAATTATCCTCCACTTTACCGATCAGGAGATAGAAGTTGAGGAAGGTCACAGATTGTGGTGTGTATTTTCTGGGTTTGGTTTTGGTTGTTTTTGATCTGTTTCTCTCTGGAGGACATTGCTCATTATGTATGTTATTAGAGGTCTCCATGGAAGGTGTCCTGCTTTCTAGCATGGAGGCCAAGTTGGATAGGTTCTCCTGCTTCTTGCCTTTGCACATCAGGGTGAGGGCTCTCATACCTAGGACTTCAAATGCTGAGGGAGAGAGACAAAGACATTAAAAACAAGAGCCTAGCAGCAGTAGCAGCAACAACACTGTTGTCTATCCAGCTGGAATATTGTCCAGTGGTAAGAGAAAAGTGTCCCACCAACAGATTGTGCCTTGGCTTTGGTTTCTAATGTCCTTGCTCCTGCTGGTTATCCTAGCCTGTAGCTCCAGGCTTTCTGGAACTACTGATTCTTTCCCAAAAAAATGCAGATTTTCTACATTAGCCAGAGCTGGTTTCTATAGCTCGAAACTGAAGAACACTAACTGGTAACACAACTAGAAAGTGTCCAAGTCAGGACACTAGGTGTGATTGATTCTAGGTGTGCCTAAATACAAAGTCTGTGCACTCTACTTAAGTAAGATAAATTGGCAGTCAGTAGTTTATTCAACAATTATTCATCAACCCAACTAATGCATGACAGGCACAATCTCAGAGAGCTAAAATGTTGAGGATTTACTAAAATTACTGTGAAATTGAATTGAGCTAGGATCTAACAGGAGCAGTTCTCTCTAGTGAACTAGATTAAAACCCTTATCCCTTTGTATTAGTTGTACGTGGAAACATAGGTTCTGTTTCCAAGAAATCTGCAGGATCCCCAGAGCATCATTCCTGCCTGGAGGCTACCAACCTCCTGTCTCACATATATTATTTTTATCATCCAATTTTTCTACAGATACTGTTCTTTCCAAATTTCTCTGATAGGTTCTCTCACTTTATTTCCTTTTAGTAATTGATTTGCTTTGATGTCATCTTGTGGTTTGAATGATTTAAATTTAAATTTACATTTGATACAAGAATCATAAAAAGAAAGCAGACTCTTGCTTCTCTGTAACAAGAAAAATCAGGAAGAGAAAAAACATAGTGAGAAATTACCACATTGAGTATCTCATTCTCTCTCTGGAAAGGTCAAAGGTGTTGCCTACCACTGACTCCAAAGTAAAATTTATTCACACTAATATGTAAATGACTTAAAAGAACATAAATCAATTCCTGTTTAGGATTTCTGCAATTATCAACTGCAGTGTTGCACTTGGAAACATTGGGATTGATAGCACTCATGCATTAGAAGAGTTACTGGAACCTTCTAGAAGTATCTAGATCACAACTTATAGGCAGTTATTTACTTCAATCTGCTTCCAAAAATGGAACTTAGCATACTCTTTAGAGTGTGACCACTTCCCTGTCTGCTTTTGCATTGGAACCATCATGATGAATTGAAACAGTGTTTTGAGGAGAAAACAATGGAACAAGATGACCAATTGGAGGGAAGTTTCAAGTCTCAGTTTTTGTTCTTCAATTTTGGCAGCTGCTATGAAGGTGTAGTAATAGGGCTACAGAGGACAGGAGAGTATACAAATACAATTTTTAAAAGATTTTACAATATCCTTCTACTTTCTTAAGGCCAAAAAGTGACAATTAGTATATGTGGGAACTTCAAAAACTTTGTAGAAAGATTCATATTCCCTTTCAATTCTATTTTGCCATACCCTCTGTGAGGAAAATAGAATAATTTAATCAGGCCCCCTCACCTTGGATCTGGTTGAGGGTCGTGCAGCACGTTCCTTGTAAACAAGTTGTGTGTAGGTGGAGTTAGTGTGCATGCTTGCCAATGCATCTTTTTAGTTTTGTTGCTGTTCTTGTGTTCTTCAGAGTTTGTGAAGCAGACAGCAGGCAGAGCTCGTGTCGAAAAAGAGAGCATGTTTGCGGGCAGCTGCTCAGTTTTTCTTTGGACTTTGCTGGTAGCAGTTGAGTTTCTGAGTTTCTCTGTGGACTGCCTGGCTCTTAGATGTGTGTGTGCTGAATAAAGACTACTCTTTCTTCAACCAAGGCTCCAAAGACCTTTTTTCCAGTTACTTAGCTCGTAGACCTGCGTGTGAAGGGTTTGTGACCCAGTCTGGACAACGGGCTTGAGGGGTCTGTGAGCTCTAGACCCAGCCCTAGCTCTACACCTTCATATGTTTGTACATTCATTTATTCATTCATTTATTAAACAAACTTAAGTGATTTTTTTGTGTGTGTCATATAGTCTTCAAGGAGCTTACAATTAGTTGATTGAGTCTAAAAGATCCATGGTTTTCTCTTTTCTTCTGAGACACATGTTTTGTGCCTCTCACAGTATGTGACAGAGATGATGTTTCCATGTGTAGCAAACTCTTGTTGAGTGCCTGGAATTATTTGCTAGACCTCACATACTGGCTGTAACTACATCACTTTTTCTTCCATGCATGAAAGTATATCAGAATGCAAAGGAGCCAGAAAAAGAGACACTTCTATAGGAATAACCTTGAATCTAGTCTAAATGTGAAGGTAAGTCATTCACATACTTTCATGGTTTAACAGCATTAATAACAAATTATTTGCAAACAGACATCACAAATGACCTTCAAGTACCAGGTGTGTCACCACTGAAAAGACAGCCCCAGATGGCAAGAGCAATATTGAGTAATTTCTGTGACTGAGATGTTCTTGACATTTTTTATACATTTTTTTCATTTTACCTCTGTCCCCATAGTTCTATTCTCTCAATAACCTACTGATTAGTTGGTTAATGTTGGTCCTCCTGTGTTAGCATGCATCATAATTACCTGGAGGGCTTATGAAAACACAGACCTCTGGGCCCCATCCCCAGACTCCCTGCTTCAGTACATCTGGGTGAGGCCTGAGAGTTTGCATTTCCAGCAAGTTCCCAGGTGGTAATGATGCTGCTGGTCCAGGAACCACACTTTCAGAATCATAGATCCAGTCATCCAGTCATTCACTCAAAAAACATTTATTATCTTTCTTGAAGAACCAAGAAAAAAAAAAAAAAAAACATTTATCAAAAGCCTACCAGGAACCGCGCACCAAAATCAAAAGGTAAACTGGACATTATTTTGTAAGAGCTAATGCGTACTGAGCACCTTGCTAAGAGCTTTGTTATGTTGTGGTTTACTCCTTTATGACAATCCTGAGAAGTAGCCATCTTTTCCCCAATTTTACAGATGAAAATACCACAGCTGAAAGAGATTAATCATCCTGTTCAAAGTCAAACGGAGAGATGTCAGAATTCGGATCTGAACCCAGGTCTAATGGATGCCAAGTGCTATTAGCAGATACCATGATATATGCTATGCTATTCCTATAACACTGAGGAGTTTACAGAGAGTAATATTATTGTCATCCTTTTGCAGACTGAAAAAAACTGATGTTCACTGTGATTAAATAACTTACCCAAGGTCACACAGCTAGGAAGTATCTTAAACAAAATTTAATCTGACTCCAAAGTGCTTTTCCCACCACACAACACCATTTCTCTATGATATCTCTAGATCAAAATCCATCTTAATAAGAGCCAGGAAAAAGAATATGAAACCAATTAACCAGAGAACACAGAGTTCTGTAATGTTTTGGTTAACTAAGACATAACTCGAGTAAACTCATTCAAAACCTTTCTAGCAGTTATCAGTTCACTTTCCACCTTAAGTCAGCAAAGTGTAATTTAATGGTGCCTTGAGGATTCAGGATATTACATGTCTCAAAACCATCATCATGAACAGAATTTGTTACTGAGAAATGTCGAAGTGGATGCAGTAGATACAGGCGACTGGTTTGAACATGTGGGGACCCCAGGATTGCTGTGAGGACAAATTGAATTGTATTCTAATCATTTACCTTTTCTGTAAATGGAATGGAAAAAGACCAGCAAACTGAAACTAATCAAATGTTTTGGTTGAGTTGGGTTCAAATCAATCAAGTTTACCCCAATTTTGGTGAGTAGCTGACTAATTTCATTAAAGGTGACTGTTTTTCTTCTTTCACCACCTGATAAATTGCAAAGAATGAAGCATTCCCTGATGCCTGTGTACAGTTGTGCTGCCCCGTCATCAGGGAAAGAAATGAGCTGTATAATTACCATTTGAGACATGAATCATCCTTCTCAGAGGGTCCAGACCTGTTTGACTCTATAAAAGGAGCTCAGGGTCGTAGTGCAAATGTGCACTGTCTCTGCCATCCCCCAGGCTGATATAATTACCAAGCTACCTCGAGGAGATGAGGGTGCTCCCTGCATCTGGCATCGCTGTCCTCCTCGTCACAGCCTTGAAATTTTCCTCTGCAGCCCCCTCCCTATTTGCAGCCACCCCCAGGACCTTGAGGAACAACTACCACCTTGCACAGGTTTGTGAATCTTTGCCCTCTTCCTACTCCTGCCTCAGAAAACCTCATAGCATACGATAAGAAAATAAGTAAAAATCTGTCATTCTTTTTAAATTATTTTATAAGTCCATCGACATCTACTCAATGCTATCTCCTATCCGTCTAAGATTGATGTCTGGGGCATATTAAGGCATGTGTTGCATAACTGAATTAATAAAGGAGTATATATCTACCTAGGTATCTTGCTTCATGCAGAATTCAAGGTGGCTTGTAAAAAACATAAAATACAAAACGACAAAAGTAGTATTTGAGGAATAATGTAGGAAAAAAAAAATAGAGGTAGAAAAATAAAAACCGAGGTATAAAAGTTGCACACCAAAGGCAGGCTGTGAATTTAGTACTAAGCTTTCTAGCAGTCTCAACAAAAAGGATTTCCTGTGTTCACATTTTCTTAATGGCTCTTGTATTCGAGATAACCTTGATCTAAATTTAAAGTGGACAAAGTTTTTCCTGGATGTCAACTGCTTCTCATTTGAGGGGCTTTCTTCTCTAAAGCATATTCCCCAACTACCCTTATTTACTTACACATTCTATATTTTCTTCTTTTAATATCTCTCCCATTTGACTGTTGGAAAGGATCTGATCTAGTTAATTCATACTACAATTTTTGCAAAGACCTCATAACCCAAAATAATTCAATGTGTATTTGCTTCCAAGTGTTTTTGCATTAAAGGAAGGAAGGTAGTAATCCTTAACCTAAAGAAATTGGTTTCCAATGATGGAATTTCTGACATTAGTGGCAGATATGTGGAGGAGATGTTTTTGCACATGGGCCTCTCTTTCAAGAGCCTGTCAAAATTCTAGAAACTCTGCGATGACCAGCTCTGCCTCGGGGCCGCTTTCCCACTGCCAGGCTGCACCTGGTACTGCTTGGGCCATGGCACTGTAAAGCTAATTTTCACCCATGCTCACCGGCATAGGGACCGATTGTTTCCACCACTAGTTCATTCTCACTGGTCAGCTCCCCTGTTACACCAGTTCAGTAAACATTTTGAATAGCAACCCTGCCCTGCATATAGACAATACGGTAGATGCCCAGTAAAGGCCTGTTGAATTCAACTTTGACTTGAGCCCACTTTTAGATGAACTAAATTCAAAAGAACTCAGAATACTGAGATCTATTGAAAATTGTGTTTTATCAGTGCCATCTAGTTCGTATTCTTTCTTCCCAGATGCAATTTCCCCCACCTAGCCTCATGCCACTCTGATTCAGATGCTACAGAGGTTTTGTGACCTTCAGAAGGGTGGCCATGCTGAGGCCAGAACAGATCTGAGGTGGCCGGAGACCCTGATTCCAGTCAAGGGTTCAGGCAAACTACAGTCCACAGGCCAAACCTGGCCATGTGTGTTATATGCCATAACCATATATATGCCATCGCCATATTGTCTATGACTGCTTTTGTACCACAATGGCAGTGTATATAGCCTGCAAAGCCAAAAATATTGATCATTGGCCCTTTATAGGAAAAAAAAATAGCCAGCCCCAGTCTATGCAGGAATGAGGCCAGAAACTCTTTAAAGGAGCTATTCTTGCTGGCCTAGCAGATCAGGGATCAGCTAGATGTGTTTAGAAAGAATGGGGTGGCCTTGGAATGATGGGGACCTTTAGTAACTCCTTACTTCTTCCTCTCCAAAATAAGTCAGTCTCTCTTATGACATACTCAGAAAGACCTTGTCCACATCTTGTCACCTGGCACACAGCAATGGTCCTGGTCATCAGCACTGGGCAGGGAGATTCATCCCTCTTTAGGAGGCTGACGTGATTTGGCCAGACCTCTAAAGTGGGTCCCAGAGACTAGAAGGGATTCATGTCCCACCTTATAGTTTAGAAAAATGTGTAATAACCTTATCCACCTTACAAGATCACAAACAAGAACAGCATGAAAATAGGCAGCTTAGGTTCATTTACTGAATGCTTGCTATGTGTCTGTGCTGGAGGAACACATGGAACAAAATGAGTCAAGTCCCTGCCTTTAGGGCGCTTTCATGGGGACAGCAGAACCAGTGGGGAGGTGCCAGAAAGAGATAAACATGCCAATCAATACGTGCACAAGATTATTTCATAAAATGATGTGATACTGGGGAAAAATTAACCAGGATGATAGGGAGTGACTGGGGCAGTGGGGGAATGCACACAGGGGAGGGACATTTTTAACATAGTAGTCCAGAGAGGCCTCGTGGAGGAAGCGACATTTGAGATGAATCTGATATGTGTGAAAGGACCAGTCAGTCACGTGAAGACCTGAACACAAGGCAGCCCAGACAGTGGAAACAGCAAGCGTGGCAGCCCCAGAGTGAAGGAGCTCGGGGTGCGATCTCAGACCACCGCTGAGAGATCACGGAAGAGGGCACTGCTGAGCCCAGGAACAGGCCAGGCCTGCGGACCATCTGAGGCCCAGGAGCCTGATGCAGGCTAAGCAGAGAACGTGCTTACAGAGACCGCTGTCTTCTTTCTAGATCACTCACTCGCTGAGAGCAAATGGCTTCTTGTGCCTGGAAACACCAGGCAGGCCATGTTCCCAGACACCAGCACTTCTTCCAAAACCCATGGACACAAGAATCTACACTTAAAAAGATAAACAGGTTCTAGTTGATTTATTTAATGTCCACTTGCCTCCTTTAAATTCTCATTTGCCAATTTGCATAAAAGGCTTTTTTTAATACATAAAAAAAATAATAAAGTGCTTACCTCTTCTCATAGTCCAGGGTTTTATTCTGGTTTTTCTGCCTGTTTAAAAAAAAAAAAAATTAGTAGCATCAATACGATATTTAAAACAGGTTTTTTTAATTGTCTTTTAAAATAACAATTTTTTATTACTATATGAACTCATAATTAAAGAAAACAAAAAATAAAAATACAACCTTTCAAATACAAACTATTAAATTCAGGTGTTGTTACTACCATTTTATTTTCTGTGATAAAGATTATTTTTAGTTGTTATTGTCTTCAAAATTTGGTTCTTACTTTTCTCACTATTCTCTCATAAGAAAATTTTTATTTTTATACTATTTTTATCACATTATTTTAAAGCCACAAATATTCCAGAGTATATGTGAGTTATAATCTATTTAACCACTTCCTATATTAAAGAAATAGGTTATTTCTTTATGAATAATGTTTCTGTGAGCATCTTTGTACATCAGCTTAAACTAAACAATTATTTTTTCAGGATAGGTTTCCAGAAGTAGAATTAGTGAGTAAAAGGGCATTTTAAAGTCTTCTGATAAATTTAAAAGCATTTTCACATTGAGGACCTCACTGATCCTCACAACAGTGTGGTCAGTTGGACAGAAACCAGCCCCATTTCATAGATGAGAAAGCTGAAAGCAAGAAATTAAAATAATTGCCCAGGCTTGTCAGTGAAACAGCCCAGACTACAACCTAGGATTTTTCAGACAGCATCGAAAGTTCTCACAATTCCATCTCTATGACTTAGCCAAAAAAGAGAGAAATGTTGAAGAAACCATACCTTGAACTTCACCTTGTCCAGAAGCATACTTAGGTCTGAGCTCTAAACTCTCAATTCTCAGGAAGGACACTAGGAAAGCGCACTGAATGAGGAGTCTGGAGGGAGACCTGGGCCACTGGCTTGCACGGAAGGACCTCCGGGCCTCTGTTATTTTTATTTGTCAAATGTTGGAAAAGAAGTAGAGAGAGTACCACCTGATAATCAACCCTAAAATTCTGTGATTTTAACAGTGGGGGAGTGGGGAAGATGAGGAGCAAATGGGACAGTTCTGGTGAGTCCTGAAATCTTTGGCCCTGTGCCAATATTAAGTGTTGAGCCAACTGCATGCAAACATTAGAATATAACACAAAAGCAATTCTAAGTGCCTGGTAGAGCAGTTTGACTCAGAAAAGTCTGCAAACGCTTGTCAATAACTTTGGCCAGAAAGTTCACAGAATTTTGGGCTCTCAGGACACATGATAATTCTTCAAAGAAGCTTATTTTCATATTTTGCCTAAACAAAAAGAGCTCGCACATTACTGAGCATCTACTCTGAGCCTAGTACTGTGGCAGGCACAGAGCCGTATTTGTGAAGGAGTCACGGTCCCCAAAAGGAAGAAGGTTGCAGCTGAGTACGTGAGAGTGACAAGAAATCAGTGGAGAGGGTGGTTTATAGTGCAATGTAACTGGTGCTTTACTAGTATAAGAACCACGTCCCACGGGAGCACCCGGTAGGGAACAATTCACTTACGTCACCAATTGTAACCAATTTTTGTTCTCTTTTTAAGTAGGAATAGTTTCCATCTTTGTTTTTGCTTTATTAGAAGATACTGTTTTAATCCTACTTACTATAACCAGCCTTAAACCTTTTGTGCCATAGATCGAGAATCTTATGCATATTTTAACCAAAAAAACATTTGGTTATATAAATTGTTTGGTTACAGTGTGGTGTTGACAACACCAAGGTCAAGGGTTTGGATCTCCATACCAGCCAGTCGCCTATATATATAGGTTATACTATATATAAAACTCAGTGATTAAAAAGAAATACTCTTGGGCTGGCCCCGGGGCGCACTTGGGAGAGTGTGGCGCTGGGAGCGCAGCAACGCTCCTGCCACGGGTTCAGATCCTATATAGGGATGGCCGGTGCGCTCACTGGCTGAGCGCAGTGCGGGTGACACCACACCAAGGGTTGTGATCCCCTTACTGGTCACGAAAAAGACAAAAAAAGAAGAAATACTCTTAATTCCATCATTAAGGTATAACCATTGTTAATTCCTATATCTATCAAAACACTTTTTTATGATTCAGGGCCAGGATTCGGGTGAGGCAAGAGAGGCAAGAATGAATCCTGTCTTTATTTAAAATTTCAAAATTTTGTTTATCATGGATTTTTTGCATTAATATTGGTTTTTTAAAATTTTGCATTAAAATATTTATCTTAATTGCTGTGTTTTTGGTGACCCACCACTGTCCTCACCCTCATCCTGAGTTATGACTATACGTGTCACTTTTGTTTATATACACTGCTCATACTGTAACAGTAGTGATGAACATGCTTTCCACTTCATTTATCATGAGCAGCTTCCCTTATATGATCATATTTTATGAAACAAAATTTACAATGTGGAGTGTAACACATAATCTAACAGGGAACAAAATATTTGAAATCAAAATGGTCTCAGAAATGTGGAGCATCTGTTCTTATCCCCAAGCTTGGCTCTGAGGTACATAAAATTCAGACATGATCACTTACATGCATTATCACAGCGTCAACTTGTGCAAACAGGAGTGACTCATCCAATCAACTTCATCTTGCAAAAAAGATCAGAAACGTAAAATGTTCACTGAAGATGGCCTGACCAGAGATGGAAATGGAACCATCTAGTCACGCCTTTGTTTTAGAGCACCTCTTCTGGGTTCCATGTGGTTGCCTCTCCCTTTTCCTCCCCTTGGCTTCTCATCTCACCTAAAATTTTTACAAGAGACACTACCACAAAAGCAAGGTCCTCTCACACGCAGGGCAGGAGTGAAGGATCGGTTGACCCTGCAGTGAGGAAACAGTGCACCCTCTCCAAACAGTAAGACTTATTCCTTTTATTTTTTCCTTAACAATAACAGTCCTACCCCACATCACGGGCACGAGGGGTGACAATCAGCTTTGTATCTCATGAATATTCATAACCAATTAAAAAAAAATAACAGTCCATGTTCATTGTAGAAACCTTTGGGATATAGGAAGGGGTAAAAAAGAAATTAAGCCACCCAAACTTCAGAACCCAGAGGTAATCAACATTAATATTCAGAATGCTTCCTTTTCATTATTTATTGTGTTCTGTGTGTTTGGTTTATTTATGAATTGTGATTATAATCTGCATAAAGATTTTCCTCTGCTTTTCTTGGTATATTGCCATTATATTAAGAGCATTCTTCGATGCTATTAAATATTTATATTTCAAAAGTATGATCTTAGTAGAGGTCTAGTAATGCATCTCATGAATATACAAAATATATCTAACAAATCCCCTATCGTTAAGACATTAAAGTCACTTCCAATTTTTCACTATTTTTATATATATATAATGTGTGCATAATACGTAAGTAAATAATTTGCATAATATATATGGTTAATATATAGGTGAATGATATTTTATTTATATCTAATAAATAAGCAATTGTAAACAGTTGGCCCTCTGTATCCACAGCTTCTGCATCCTAGGATTCAACCAACTGTGGGTCAAAAATATTTGGGGAAAAAAAACAATTAAACATAACAATACAACAAAAAATACATAAATAAAAACAATACAACTATGTACATAGAATTTATATTGTATTAGGTATGAGAAGTAATCGAGAGATGAGTTTTACAGGTGGATATGCATAGATTATATGCAAATACTACACCATTTTATATCAGAAATTTGAGCACCTGCACTTTTTGGTACTGTGAGGGAGTCCTGGAACCGATCCCTCAAGGATACTGAGGAACAACTTTACTATATAAATATAAAATTATATAAAATGAAAATACGTAAATCTTTAGCTGCTCTTCGGTTATTTTCCTGAAATAAGTCACATAGGTAAAATTCCTGGGCCAAAAGCAGGCCTCAACCCTGTTTTTGCATAACCCTGCTTCATCCATTTTACCCTAATCCCAGTCCTGAGTCATAGAAGTGTTTGAACAACTTATACTAAAGGGTTTAAGTCTTTAGATACACATGAAAGCCTTATAATTTACGGCTCATTTTATTTGCCTCACCAGATAAAAAGCTGGCCCTAGAAAACCTGTCCCTTGGAAACAAAGTTCACCTAATGTGTGGGGCACACCTGAACTAAGTGCCTCAGCTGAAAAATAGATCAACCCTCTGCCTTTGAATAGGATGAGAGTTGGAATATAATATCTCTGAAAGTTAAAAACTACTGATTCACATTATGCATGATGAAAATATGATACCAATAACTGTTTACCAAAGAAACCAGCTAGCCCTTTTTTTTGCAAGTTGGATAAATAACTTCAATAACAAATAATTAATCCATGGGAAAAATGTTCACATCAGTTTCCTGCCATAGTTTTTATAAAATTAAGGCAAAAATGCATATTCATTATATTCATTTCAGAAAAGCTATAAAATGCAGATGGACAAAAGAAAAAAATCTAAAAGCCCTACCACCCAATAACAATCATTAATAATTTGGGATATCAAAGCTTTATCTATGCAAACATGTCTAATTTTTTCCAAAAATGGGAATCTAAGCTACACACTATTTTTAATACATTAAGAATATTGTTTCCAGGCCGGCCCGGTGGTGCACTGCTACAGTGCGCCGCTTGGGAGCACGGTGACGCTCCCGCCGAGGGTTCGGATCCCACGTACAGATCGGCCGCTCACTGGCTGAGCGAGGGGCGGGCGCAACACCAAGGGTTGCGATCCCGTTGCCGGTCCCGGTCCGGTACGGGCGCGACGCTGAGGGTTGCGATCCGTTGCCGGTCACGAAAAAAAGACAAAAAGACAAAAAAAAAAAAAAAAAAGAATATTGTTTCCTGTCTTACCTGAGCATGAGTATTTCCCAGACTATGCCCTGGAAGTGTCAGCTTCCCTCTCCATTTCAGGCGTATCTTGACAAGTACTACACAAAGAAAGGAGGACACCAGATTGGTGAGATGGTTGCAAAAGGGGGCAGTTCCATGGTGAGGAAGATCAAGGAGCTGCAAGCGTTCTTTGGCCTCCAAGTCACTGGAAAGTTAGACCAGACCACCATGGATGTGATGAAGAGGCCTCGCTGTGGAGTTCCTGATGTGGCAAACTATCGCCTCTTCCCAGGTGAACCCAAATGGAAAAAAAATACTTTGACATACAGGTAATGAGATCGAGTCTTTCCAAACTCAGAGAGAAACACCTTCGGTCTCTTCTCTTCTTTAAAAAATGTCTTCCCTCTGATCTGTATAAAAGTTATGACTCCTTAGAACCACAACAAAGAGTAAGAACTTTTTAGGGCCAGCTGTTAGACAGTGACAATGGACAATTCACCAGAAAATGTGATTTCAGGATTATCATAATGACTGGCCATTTTAGACATTACACACAATTTTACTAGTTAGCAACATCACATTAATCTTCAAAGGAAAGTAGTTGTCTAGCATTAATGTCCTGACAGTACAAACCAGTTTTCTTAACCTGCCCACTAAAAAAGATAAACTCACCTATTAATAAGTTATTTCATTGACTCTGAAAATTACTTATTGATGATGTATTAAGTGCCTACTACAGGCATTCAATTTTGGAGCTATAAAGGTAAATAGATCACATTTTCTGACCTTAGGGAACTCATAGTCCTTTGCGGGAGACAGACATGCAAACAGATAGCTCCAGCTCTGTGTGAAAAGTGTGAAACCACAGGTGTAAACAGAGAACTGGTGCGGGGGGAATCTAGAGGGAGCTACCAAGTTGCCCAGGAACTGGCGGTGACATCTGAGCCTGATATGAGCTGGCAAAGTAGAAGCAGTTTCGCCCTTAGCCCCAATCTCCTGCCACCCTCTCCTGGTACCCTCCCCTTCCCCCATCCTCTGGCCTCATCCAGTGTAGACCAAGGCGACACACCCAGCCACAACCTTTGTCCTTCCTCCCTATGCTCTGAGTACAGAAGCTGGAATTCCCGAGCCCAGCAGCCTGACCTGCTTCTGGGGACAGCATAGTCCTACTCACCAGGTCACTTCCACCAAGGGTGGGCCATCTACAATACCTGCCCCTTGGTCTGCCTATGTGGGCCTTGCTCATGCCAGATGGATGCAGCATGGGAAGAGAAGAGTGGCCTCCATTTGTAATCTTGCCCCAGGCCTTGCAAACGTCAGGGGTTTTCCAAGTAGAAAAGCAGACCAAGCAAATAGCAGCAGACAGTGGAACGGCCTGGCGCATTGGGCAGCATTCCTGCCGACAGTGCCTGGTGCGTGCACTGGAGTAGAGGGTGCCAGAAGGGGAATGCTGGTTAATGAGATCGTCAAAGCAGCCTGAAGGGCGGCTAGAACATGATGTGAAGGAGTTTGGACTTCATCCCAGGGCAATGGAGAGCCCGGCCAGGATCAGGATCAGACTGCCTTTTTAGAATGAGTCCATCTGAACGATACCTGGAGATGGAGAAAGGCTGGACTGTTACAGTAGGCCAGCAGTGGTGTGCTGGAGCTGGCTCCTGACGGCTCACAGGAGCCAATCTTTATAATGTCAGGAATTTCGCAGCCAGCTGTTAAGTTTCCACGAACTTTGTGAGCTGGTTGCTAAGACACAGCCAGTTAAATTTAAATTATGCAAACTTACAATTAAATAAATCATATTAAAAAATAAAGCTAATGAAAATATATCACTTTCTATTTTCCACATCTCATTATCTGTGTTTATGAGGCTATTACATCTGTTTCGTCCACATAGTGGAAACACTACTCAGTGGTTTGCTCCTGCTCCTCTCTTCCCAACGTCGCATTCAGTGATGGCAACTTGGTGGCTTGAGATTAGCCATAGTGAGGGTATTTACAACGCAGAAACCAGTGAACCATACAAATCAGGAGGGTTATTTTTTCCTTCCAGAAGCGGTCGTTAAACTGTTCCAGCACACGAGTGAGTCCATGTGATCAAACGAGGGGCGCGAACACAGCCAGCCGCCAGGGGATTCGGCTTGGCCACTCGTTACCTGCCATGAGCCTATAAATCCATAAGGTGGCGCTCTGAACAAAAAAATCAAAGCAATTGGAAAAGAAAAATCTCTTAAGGAGTTGAGCACGCAAGTTATTAGGAGATAAGAGAAATGCATATAAATCTATAGAGCCTTTTCATAATTTTCTTAAAATAAACTGTGTCCTAGAATCTTAGTCTATGTACAGTGAAGACAAAGGGCACAGATCAAGATAATGTGGACTTGGAGAGGCATAATATCCTGGCGATAAGTTGGGCACCCCCACACTGCCCACCCACTCCTGCTCCCAAATAACTCACCTGCCCTCTTTCCCTGAAAAAGACACTAGAGGCTATCTTTGTATCTGGATCTCGGAATAACTTCTTATAACATAACCCAGAAGATTAAAAAAGGAAGAACACAGCACAGGGCTTAAGTGCTGCTATAAGCTTTGGAGTCAGACAGACAGAGCTCAAATCCTGACTAAGCAGAAAATGTAGATGATGATGATTATAACCTACCTCTTGCGGGTTGTTGTGAGGATTAGCTAACATACTGCATCAGAAAGGGCTTAGAACAACATCTAGCACATACTTTGTCTTCAAAGAATATTAGCTGTTATTACTATTGCTGTATCAGTCTCTAGACCCTGGGCCAGGATCTTCTCCATATTCTTTTCTGGTGCTTTCTCTTTTCTCCATCCTTGTCTTCTCCAGCCCAACACACAGTCAGCTCAAAGATATGGCTGACTTATCCAACATGTGAGGGGATTTCAAGGCACCCACAATCTAGAGTTGTGATAAATCACAGACTCGTGTTATACAAGGGGCTTGGCATATTCTGAAAGCATTAAATAGTCTCTTCGAAGGTCTTTCTGGTTTCCCTCTTCAACTCTACAGCTCCCTCCTCTTGGCCTCAACCCCTGGGGTGAAGGAGCTCCTTGTTTCTTCCCTCTCCAGTCCTGAAATGAGCTGTTTACCATCTTCTCTGTGGAATATGATTCTTCCTTTTGGGACCCCAGGATTACTGCTGTTGGTTTCCAAATGAAATTATATCCCTTGCATCAGAATAACCTACGATACTTATTAAAATGCAGATTTCTGAACCACACCTGTATATTTAACAAGCTTCCTAGATAGTTATGACAGGTCCTAAAGTTTGAGAACCACTGAGTAGGCCCCAACACCACTGGCTTTTATTCATTAGCTCGTCTATTTATCAAGCATTTGCTGAGCATCTACTATGTGCAAGGCACTGGACTAGGAGCTGGAAAAAAAGAAAGTAGGCTCTGTCCCTGCTCCCAAGTTTGGCACTCACAGAGATCTAGCTTCTCACTTTGCATCCATTATTCCAGCCCAGCCCAACGTCCAGGAAAAAGTTTCTCTCTCCTGACCTTCCTTTGCTTGCTAACAAAAATCCCAGCCCCTGGGCTCCAGAGCAGAAAGTTCTAGAAAACCACCAGCTTTTTCTCCACCTATGTTTGCCCAAAAAGTGCTACATTTTTCTGCCTTCAAATGTCGTTCTTACACCAGGACTTGCTGAAAGGCTCAACCCTTTTTCAGTCCCAGTGAGCATCCTTTTTTAAAGCTAACACTTCCTCTTTAAGAATGCATTATTTTAAGAAAAAAACATTTCCCAACAACCCTGGGGAAATCCTGATGGTCTTTGAATGGGAATTTGCAAAACTTCAAAACTCCACGTGTGTAATTTTATAACTGAAAATTTTCAGTCCCTTTCGGGGAGAAAGAGGTCCTCTCTCAATGAAAACCACGTTAAGGAATGGACTTTTTACTACCTGTAACATTACACAAGGATTATTTTTTTTAATTAATGGTAGTGCAATAGCAACGAAAGCCAAACTCTTTCAGTACCTCAGTGCCCTCTTATTTCTCCCTTTCATTCTTCTTCTTGTTTAACATGCAGCAATTTAAAATAAATAAAAGCAAAATGAGAACTCTTGTTTGAGAGGAAAATAACTAAATTGTAGATTTATGTTCAACATTTTTATTTTTAATACAACCAATAACATAATTCCTGCCTTCTTCACTTGGGAGCATTTACAGAAAGGAAAACCTGTTCCTCTTATTTTCACAGAATATCCAAATACACACCTTCCATGAGTGCTGTGGAGGTGGACAAAGCAGTAGAGATGGCCTTGCAGGCCTGGAGTGGCGCTGTCCCTCTGAACTTTGTTAGAGTCCTCGCAGGAGAAGCGGATATCATGATATCTTTTGAAACTGGAGGTACTGTGCTGCTTCTTGGTTCCATCTACTAATCGAAAGGAGAATATTCCACCAGTTTCTTCTGCATATTTAATCCAAGTGACCAGCACAGTCCTCCCCCACACAGTGCTGTGATGGACAGAGGCCAAGACCACGGTCAAGTCACGATCTTCCCCTGGCCAGAAAATAGAAAAAGGCGTACTTAGGGCCGGCCCAGTGGCGCACTGCTACAGTGCGCCGCTTGGGAAGTGCAGCGGCACTCCCGCCGAGGGTTCGGATCCCACATACAGACCGGCCGCTCACTGGCTGAGCGAGGTGCGGGAGCAAGACCCAGAGTTGCGATCCCGTTGCCGGTCCCGGTCCAGTACGGGCGCGACACTGAGTGTTGCGATCCGTTGCCGGTCATGAAAAAAAGACAAAAAGGAAAAAAAGAAAGAAAGAAAAAGGCGTACTTAGCATTTCCTGTCATCATTAGACACAGCTATAGAGTACAGTCACTGTAACAAGTTTCATTATGGTTTTGCCCCAGTAGGGGACACATTCTGCCAGACTGGCCTTTCCCATTGTCTAGGAGGCCACCTGACCTCCCATTCCTGTCATGTTCATCATTTTATACCCCCTTCCATATAGGCCAAGAATCTCCCATCTTTAATCCTCCCTGAAGGAAATAAACTCCACGGAGACCTTGATGCAGCTTTGCCCCCTGCAGCAATGGTTAGGGAAGTCCACACATGCAGACTACCTTTCAGGAAGTGCATGTGAGGTCCTGCCTCCAGCTTACCCACTCCTTCCTCTTACCCACTCTCATCCTGCTAGGGAGTAGAGGCATAAGTTTGCACAGGGATTGGTGCAGAGCTCTGAGTCCCCAGAGAAACATGTCTGGGAAGTAGATAAAGGAAAGGCCAGATGGCCCATGAAATTCCTTTTCCTTCTCAGCTTCCTGACAGTCAAGGTAAGTGAGAGCCCTGCCTTTTCCCCTCCACAGACACATTTCTAAGTGTCCTTGTCGTTTCAAGTCCTGATCTTAATTTTAACTCGATGTCACTGGGGGAAAACATGCTTAGGAGCTAGGCGAGAGAAGATCAAGCAGGTCCTGAGTACAAACCCTTTAGAAATGGCCCTGGGTGTAACCTGGTCCATGGCAGGTTCTGTTCCTACTGGGGGGAAAAGGCCACCCCTGGTGAAGTAGCAGGACAGTGTGACTCAGGGCAGACTTGGGGGCCATGGAGTTAATGTCTGGTTCTCTCCATCTTTCAAGCTGGTGTCCTGTCTCCTAACACACAAGCTGACTAGTGACTGTACCACCACTGCATTAAGTCCTCAGGACATGCAACCTGACTGAACACCACTAAAACCTGAGGCGTGGCATGCCAGAACTTTGTTTTTGTTTGTTTGTTTGTTTGTTTGTTTGTTTTTAAAAAAACAAGATATCCTCACTAACATTCTAAAAAATTGTGAAATGTTGCTTCTGCTACATCCCTCATTTTGTTCTTCTTCCTTTTCTACTAAATTTGTAATGAGCTATAAATTAAAATATAGATCATAAAACAAAAAAAAATGTAAAGCTTTAAAAGTTAGGATTTTATAATCACTTTTGCTACATTCATGAGTTTTATGCATGAAAGCATATCAAAATTACAGAGAAATTTCCTTTTTGACACTTCCTTAAATTGTATTATATTGTGCTAGAAAAACAGAAAGCACACACATGCTCAATTTACTACCAGCACCTCAGCTGAATCGTATTTTGAAAGCTCATTCTGCAACAGGTTCACATTCTGATCAGCAGATGAGGTTGCTATTGAATGTCTCTCTGTTCTTTCTCCTTTTGTAATGCATGGAGTGAACACAGTCCACAGTGCATGCACTATGTGTCAGTTAACAGAAGTCACAATAAAGACAATAAGAAAAAAAAAGTTTTCTTATCTTTAGGGCTTACTATCTTTGAAGTACAAAATAGCCCTTTTTATTTTTCAATGGGTAGTTACTCATCGACTGGGAACTTCCTATCATTAAAAATAAATATTGAAAAGTAAATGTAAGTGTCGGTGCTATTCAAAATGTTATCCAGGGCTGGCCAGTTAGCTCAGTTGGTTAGAGCGTGCTGCTGATAACACCAAGGTCAAGGCTTCATATCCCCATACCGGCCAGCCACCCAAAAAAAAAAAAAAAAAAATGTTGTCCATTCTCTGTAATGTCATGTGCCCCTCAAGATTGCTAGAAGAACTCAATCCTGTTGGCATTTCTCCCCATTTGTTTAGATCACGGGGATTCCTACCCATTCGATGGGCCTCGAGGGACGCTAGCCCATGCATTTGCACCTGGAGAAGGCCTGGGAGGAGATACACATTTCGACAATGCTGAGAAGTGGACTATGGGAAAGAATGGTATATATGCACAATTCACCATAACCTGGAAAATATTGTACCTTCTTCTGGGCTTCCATCATGAAACCTTGAGGTTCAACGTCCCAAGCCACCCTTTAACTTGGGGGGCTGGCTAGGAAAAACAAGTAAGCCAAAAATCCAAAAGGGAACACCATAAGGGAAAAGACCCACCCCCAGTTGTGCTGTAGACGTGTCTGATCTCTGTTTCATAGCATATACTCTCAAGAACCAGCAATCCCCTCCTCAACACACAGCTCTCTTTTCCTTCAACCACATAGTACAAGGATTTATTGTTTCTCACTCGTACTTGCAAACAGGCTACGTTCAGAAATGACCCAAGGGAATCAGTACTTTCCTGAGAAGCATGATGGGGATGGGTATAAAGGTTTCAGAATATCATGCAAGTCATCTGGAAATCTTCACTGTGAAACATGTATGGATAAAGAGGAGTAGCTATAATAGCAGGGAACTACTAAAGTATTTGTGGTCTAAATCTATGTATTATTGCCAAATATCAGTGCCACTCTTAGCTCTAAGGTCCTTCTTTATCCATCTACGAAGTATCATTGGCAATGAGCAAAATGGATTGATTTATATCTTCATCCTCCCCCACCAGAATCCCCTTCTAGCCAAGGGGAAAAGAACTAAAGTCAACAAAGCTAAGTGCCAGAATAACCTACCAACCTTTGAATCGTCCAGTTATGAAAAGGAGATGAGTTAACTGTGGTTTGGGCATAAGTTCTCCTATAAAGACAGAAGATGGAGAAAACAAAAACCCGTGTTGATGTTGTCTTTTTTTTTTTTTCTCTCATCCTATTTAGGTTTCAATTTGTTTACTGTTGCTGCTCATGAATTTGGCCATGCACTGGGCCTGGCCCATTCCACAGACCCATCAGCACTGATGTACCCAACTTATAAGTACCAGGATCCGTACGACTTCCACCTCCCCAAGGATGATGTGAAAGGGATCCAGGCACTGTACGGTATGATCGCTATACTTCTTTAAAACCCTGAAAAGTGACAAGAACCCTGAAACTGACATTCATTCAGTCTCCAACTTAAAGAAAGTGTATTTTCCAGGAGCTACCTGCATAGGTAAAGATTAAGCTAGAGACCACAGCCACAACTATGCCTTCTTGTGAAGAGCTTATTCACCAGTTATGAATATTGCTTTCTTCTCTAAGAAGTGCAATTAGGGCCGGCCCGGTGGCGCACTGCTACAGTGCGCCGCTTGTGAGCGCCGCGGCGCTCCCGCCGAGGGTTCGGATCCCACATACAGACCGGTTCCCACTCACTGGCTGAGCAAGGTACGGGCGCGACACTGAGGGTTGCGATCCGTTGCCGGACACGAAAAAAGACAAAAAGGAAAAAAAAAAAAGAAGTGCAATTAAATTTTACATCTTTCCTCCAGAGCATATTGGTCCCTGGATGGCCATAGAAAACAAAGTCATTTATCTGTTTTTTTTAATGCAGGTCAGGATTCACACACTAGGAGACGATGACTATATTTTCTAATTCTTATACACGGTGCTCACCCATTTGCAGATAAGTGACCATATCTCCCTAAAAATAGCAGTGATGATGATAATAACTCCATGACTCAGCTGTATAGACCAATCTGCAGTTTACAAAACTTGTTCACATGTGTCATTCCACACCATCCTCAGGACAAGCTGTAGGGAAAGAAATGTTTTCCTCATTTCGTGCCTTAGAAAGCTGAGGTTCAAAGACAGGAAATATCCCAAGATAGTCAAAATTACCTCAAGTGTAATTCTTTCAAAAGGTAATAGGGATTATTAGAAACTCGATATCCAATTTTCCTTAAGGGAAAAACAAATCTATTAATTCATAAGAAGGAATCTTGGCAATTTTTCATTCATGAATAAAAGGCAGAAAAAATCTACATAACTGACTTTCCCCTGAGCCTCGGAGAACTGGCTATTCATCCTTTGCTTGCCACAGCCTCTCTCCTTCCTGCCAGCCTAAAGGGCCTGGAGAGCCCAGACCCCCAGTGCCTTCCTGTGTGTTGGCCAGACCATCTGGCTGATTAGAAATGGGCACACACATCTTGAACAGATTTCACCTGAGGTACAAAAGACAGGTTTTATCCAAAGAAGCCTTTCTGCCAGCTCCATCCATTTCCAACAGAGGGTAGGTACCAGTTCTGCTCCACCCTGCGGGACAGAAAAAATTTTTGTGCATGTCTCCATTCTACAAACTCAGCTCCAGAACATCTGGGGGCAGAGCTCCAACATGGAGCAATTTCCATGGGCAGCCAAGAAGAGCCAAGTCCAAATACTTGCCCTTATAGATCGTTGTGCACCGCCAAGTCACTGCCATTCTGATAGCCATTGTCCCTTGGCCGGGAGGCAAAGCACATATTTTGACATTGCCAATTTTACACAAGTGAATGAAATGTGAAAACATGGGTTTATGTTGCCAGGGAGCATACACATCACCCACCTCTAGCCACCTGGACACTTCTGACATTCCCTACCTTTCTGATCTGATCAGTTTCTACTTTCTGATCTTCTCCTGAAGTCTCACCCCACCTGTGATCCTCGCCACGTTGCTAACCCCTACTCCATCTCTGATCTCAACCCCTCTCTGACCCTGTCCCTTTCCCTGTGTCTCGCTTCTTTCCTGATTCTCTCCTCTGGTTACAACAGCCCACTCATATTTCTGCAGCTGACAGATAGTCCTCAGAGATGCAAAGCAGGAGTTGAAAATTCACCAACAGCTCTCTGAAGGACTGAGTCTCTGTTTTACAACAGGATCCAGCAGAAGATACCTTCAAACAACACCTTCAGTGTGTATCAATTCCACAAGAATTCACCCAGTCTTTCCTGGGTGCCTCATAGAAGGCTTAAACACAGTGCCAGATGCCAAGGAGTATATAAAAATAATAGGAACACACACAAGAAAGTTATAATCTTATTGAGAAAAAAATAACTCAATTACAAAGAAATAATCCATGGCAATTGTTAAATTACATTTCTGATTTGGAACACCAACAGTGATCAACAAAATATGTATAACAATAAAGTAATAGCAACCAATTTTTTGAACATTTACTTTGTGCCAAGCAAGCACTCTACTAAGTACTTTACAGGCATTATTTAATTCTCACAATGACCTTCTGAGGTAGGTACTATTATTACCTCTTCCTATTTACAATTGAGGACGCTGAGGTTTAAAATGGTTAAATTATGGGCCGGCCCCGTGGCGCACACGGGAGAGTGTGGTGCTGGGAGCTCAGCGACGCTCCCACCGCAGGTTCGGATCCTATATAGGAATGGCCGGTGCGCTCACTGGCTGAGTGCGGTGTGGGTGACACCACACCAAGCGTCGCGATCCCCTTACCGGTCACGAAAAAGACAAAAAAAAAAGTGTTAAATTATTTGCCTCAAATCACACAACTCAGCAACTAGGGAAGCCAGGCTTCCATCCCATGTCTACATGTCATCGACAGCCATGCTCTTTATCACATATAGAGACGGAAAGTGTACAAGCTCCCCCAAGTCTCTAGAACAGAGGTGTTCAAACTCCAAAGTCCCATTTCTATTTTGACCAGATCACCTTGAATCCTAGGACCTCGGAAAACATTCCTGGGAAAACCCTCGGTGCCCCTTGGCCCCCCTCATAGGCCATCCATCCCCGATCTCTGTGACTCCAGTTCATACTTTGATGCAGTGACAATGCTGGGAAAGGAACTCCTGTTCTTCAGAGACCGGTAAGCTTCAGACATGCCACCGACTCTTGTTGGGCCTCAGCTCCACCTCTAGACAAGCATGGCTTTAGATGCCCTTGTTGCCACCATGTATGAAGATTATGCAGAAGTGCTGTCCTGTGTGGCAATAGGGTGGGAGGTAGGGATTTGGGGGGAGATTTAGAACTGCCAAAACTAGTGTTTGTGGAGCAGCTACTATGGTGTTGGTGCTGTGCTGTTTTCCATATATATGCAGTATTTCTTCTAACCTTTTCCACTGCAGAAAGAATCCCCGATTTACAGATGTAGAAAGCAGTTCAAAGAGAGCAAGTAAATTTCCCAAGGTAACAGTTAAGTAAGTGGCTTAAACAACAGAAATTCATTTCTCACAGTTCTAGAGGCTGGGAAGTCCAAGATCAAGGTGGCTGCAAAGTTGGTCTCATTCTGCAGCTTCTTCTCTTGGCTTGTAGTCCTGCTGTATGCTCACATGACCTCTTTGTGCACATGGAGAGAGAACACATGAGCTTTCTGGTATCTCTCCTGTATTAGTCTGTTTTTGTGTTGCTATAACAGAATGCCTGAAACTGGGTGATTTATAAGAAAAAAGGCTTATTTGGCTCATGATTCTGGGACAGCTGCATCTGCGGCAGGCCTCAGGCTGCTTCTACTCATGGCAGAGAACAGCTGGCTGGTGGGTACAAGATCACCTCTTATGGCAAAAGGAAGCAAGAAAGAGAGAGGAGAGGCACCAGGGTCCTTTAAACAACTAGCTCATGTGGGAACTAATAGAGTGAGAACTCACTCATCACTGCCAACCCCAAGGGAAGGCGTTAGTCTGTCCATAAAGGATTTGCGCCTATGACCCAAACACCTAACACTGCCACATTGGGGGTGAGATTTTGACATGAGCTTTGTGGTGACAAAGGTTGTGGGGACAAGTATATCCAAGCTATATCATCTCCTTATAGGGGCACTAATTCCATCATGAGAGGCCCTACCCTCAGGACCTCATCTAAATCTAATTACCTCCCAAAGGCCCCATCACCAAATACCATCACATTGGTGTTTCAAGGCAGTGCTCTAACCGACTAGATAACTGGCCAGCCCCTTAAATACCATCACATTGAGAATTAGAGCTTCAACATATGAATTTGGGGGGAAACAAACTCTAAGTTCATAACACAGAGTAATCACATTGTTAACCATGTTGTTGCATAATACAGATTTTTTTCTTTAGATAGATGTATGTATATTTTAAATATGAAAGGGAGGCAAGTATTTCCACTAGCTGTGTTAATTTACAAACTTTTTTCACCCGACAATATTTTATTTTTCCATGTCAATGAATTTTAATTTTTTTATTTTATATATTATTCCAATGAATAGATATATCTTTACTTATTTAACCAATCCCACACGTATCAACATCTAGATTCTTTCTAATTTTTGAAAATGAGGGACAGCTTGAACAAAATTGTCAACAATGGGTAGGTATTCACTTTTCAAAAGCAAGTTAGAGCAGAGCCCAGGAACCGAGGCTTTTACATCAGACTACATGGGTTTAAATTTTGGCCCATGATGAGGTGACCCTGGGCAAGTAACATGCCAGACATACAGTAAAAGGCAGTTACTATTTCCAAGAGTGGGAATCAAAAACTATGAACAATGAAATGAAGACTTAGAAGGAACTTGAGGTACTCATATTTGGAGAACCCGATTTATTCTTTTTTATGATTTATTTTTATTGATGATTTTTCATTTTTTAAGACCTATTGATTATGTGTTATTTTTATCCATTATTACCAGAAAGTCAACCAAGCAGAATTGGTGGGCAGTGACCCGGGAGTGGTAGGCAAGGCACAGGACAGGGGGAGCCTGCAACGTGGTGCTAAGTACCATCGGCTTCCCCTGAAGGATAGGATTGCCAGAGTCCACACCGCTCAGACAGAAACAGCATGTAGCACTCATTCACTGGTGTAGAAATGAGGTTCCAGCCATCATGGAGGGTGTAGCTTATTCTTTAGGTAACTATCAGTGGATGCGGTAGGAGAAAGGAGACAGTGAAGTCAAAGATATTATACCATTTCATACAATGATAGTTGTTTTCTTTAAAAAGCAAACAAGAAACCCCTCTGTTTATCAAACTATGTGCCTTTAGAAGTTACTAATGGCTACTTGAAGGTGATACATCTTTTGACGTGATGTTGACTATAAATACTGAAGGTGGTAACAGTATAGAAGGGCAGGCATAGGTGCAAGAGACACGTAGAAATGAACGATCAGCGGAGGCAGTACAGGAGGGATGGGTGACTACCATGAATCGGCTTCGTCATCCCCTTTTCATCTTCACCCATTTCAGATTTGATGAGCGAGTGTGGTAGGACAGGGAATTCCAAAGAACTAGGAAGAGGTATGAGGAGGACAGAGTGTCAGGAGTGGTCCCTTCCAGCACTGGACTTGCCAGTGACTCACCATGGGACCTTGAACCTCTCTTCCTTCTCTGTAAAATAAGGGCATTGTCTGATAATAATAGTGACCTCAATGTGTTCAGTACTTACTATGCCAAGCACTTTGTTATCAAACCCTTGCAATACCCTTGTGAGATATAAAGTATTACTCTTTTTTTATAAGGCATAGAAAGGAAACTTAAAGAATGAGAAACTTACTGGTGGAGCCGGGATTGACACCCAAATTATCTACTCCAGAGCCATGCTCCTAACTTCCTGCTCTACTGCCTCCTACAGTGCCATCAGAGCTAGAATTCCATGACTCTATGAATCTGAGCCCCTGCCAGCTGCCACCAAAAGTCCCAAAGTGTTTGCTAAACCCAAACAAAGAACAAAGAATTCTTTCAAGCCACAGTTATAACAACAGCCAGGGAACCACTGATTATGAAAGAGCTCCCAGTCTGTTCTCTCCCACTCACCAGCCTGGAATTCCCCATCATCAATAAAAATCTGTTGATGGGACGTTTCAACTTGTGGACATAGTAACCACATGGTTTGTTTCCAAAGCGAGATGGAATGCAGTGCCTTTTAAAGTCACCATGAGATTGTTAGATATTCTCCATAGTGTATAAAAGTACATTCAAATGTTCTGTTTGCAGAAAAATGAACTTCAGCTATAATAAGTTGAAAGGTATATAGATTTTTTAATGTACATACATTTACTCTTTATAATAGACGACAAAATATTAAGGCTATCTCAGCTATTCTTAGGCACTTAGGGAAGAGAAGAGAGAAGTGACTGGATTTGCAGCTGTACCAAATTATATTTGCATCTCTCAGATTATTTGCGGTTTTACCCAATATAATTTTAAGGATAATATCAAGAATATCACAATGAGTTATAGACCTTAGGCAAATAATAGGTTCTACAAATGGAATAAGCATAAAAATTGATCGTGTCCAAATTCTTCGTTTTAGAGATAAGGAAACTAGGCCCAGGTCTCTCAGCCTGGCAGATCCTGCACTGCAACCCAGGCCTTCTGGCTCCCAGTCCAGAGTCCATCCTATCACTAATACAGAAAATGTTCTGGCTCTGAAATGGAACTACCAAGAAAAACACTGAATTTTGTATATGCCTTTCGACTGTTATGCATTTCATTTAGCAAGAGAGGCACTCAGAGCTGTGCCTGTGCTCCCGGGCTCTCTGCCTGCAAGTTGGGTCACCAGCCGCAAGGGGAAGATGTTCCTAGACTGTCTAGGTTCCCCAAAAACGTCTGATATGCTTCTCCACATTTGTTTTTTTCTCAAAATACAATTTTTTATTTCAAAAAGTCTGTCACTCACTAATTGTCACATTTTGAAAGATGTTATGTATCTTAGGTTAGGATGCAAAGCAGGACAGGGACACTAGTGTGGTGAAGAGAACAACGGAAGAGTCAGAGAGGGTGGCAGCCTCAGGGCTGAGAGGACAACAGCGTGGTTTCTTCGCTGAAAAGATGGGAAAGTCAACAGGATTTGCTGGACACGGGAAGAAAAACTCAGTGTTAGACATGTCAGATTTAATGTGATGACAATTCTAATGGGGCTTTATACAAAATGCTCATGCTCAGGGAAGAAGTTAGAGTTGGAGGCTTCCTGGATTTAAATCTCCCACATGGAAAAGGCAGTTAAAGATATGAAGATGGATAGCAGCTCTAAAGAGAGAAAGGAAAGAAGTCTACAGAATGAGCCTAGGAAAGGACAGAAGTGGAGAAGAGGATTCCACAAAGGCCAGAGAGAAGCAGCATTCAAAATAATAGTAGTAATAGTAATAATAATAACTGACATTTCATGATCATTTACAATGTGCTGTGTGTTACGCTAAGCATTTTACAGACATTTGCCCATTTGATCCATGCTGTTATTGTCTCCAGCTGGAATTTTAACTTTGGTCTGCTTGACATCAGAGACAAAATCCCTGTGGTACGGTCCCAAATAAATCAGGGAAAAGATGCCTATCTTTTTTTTTTTTTTTTTAAGTGATCAAGAGTAGAAATTGCTGCCAAGTTTACCAGATTGAGAACTGAAGAAAAGGAGCTGACTGGCAGGATAATTAAGAAATGTAGCTACAGCAGAGGAGTGAGGAAGGAAGCCAGGTTGTGGGGGGTTAAAGAGCAAATGTTGGGGGAAATGGAAATAGAGACAAGGGTCCTTCATTTGAGAATCTTGTTAATAACAAAAGAAGTTATGCTAAGATAAAGCTGGGAGAGGCAGCAGAGTCAGAAAAGGATTTCAAAGATGAGAAATTGTCATGTCTGAAGACATGAAAAGGAGCCACTGGAGAAAACGATATGCAAAATGCTGTGGGATATGCAAAATGCTATGACAGTAAAATCAGTAACCGCCACTGTTAGATAATACGTGTGAAACAGCAGCCGGGGATGCCAGAGGCTTGAGGAAAACCTGCACGACCGAAGAGGAAGTCTTCCTCCCTCACACTCTCCCTGGGGCTTTGTCTTTTCTGGCTCTAAGTTTTCTTCATTGAAAGCCACAAATGGCACTGTATCTACTTAGACCAGTTCTCTGCGATGTGCTGTATTAAGAATTCAGACGAAGAGGTAGAAGGTGAACTAGGATCCCTGACTAGTCGTTTCTTCCCAACTCTGTCCTTCTGAGTGAGGATGGGGCCCTTTATGTGTTCACAGTTATGGCTTATGAATATGGATCCCATCAGGCTCCTCAGATGGCTATCAACATTCTTAATTCAGGAACACTCTGCACAGCTTTGACTACTTTTAATCCACACCACGGTCTACACATGGGTTTTTAATTTTATAAGCTGTGTTTTTCTTGGATGCAGGGACGTGGATACTGCATAATTGATTTCTTGGCTTCCGAAGCATTTTGAGATTAAGCAGCCCTAGTTAGTGAGCCCCATGAAATGAACGACTTCTCTACCAATGACATAATAGTTTGTACGTCAAAGTCTCCAGTGAAACAAATTTAGAAGGAAACTTAGCTATATTGATAAACTCTAAGTTTACATTTTACATATCATCGATTAATAAATTTGCAGAGTGAAAATGTCTTTTAAGTATTTGCAAATAATCATAAGAGTAGTCCAGAGTTTATAAGACACTTTCATATGCATTATCTCAATTAATCCTTTGAAATATTTGTGCAGATATTATTATTATTCTCACTCGTATGTGACAGAAGGAAATTGAGTCTCAGAAAAATAAAGTAACTCACATGAGGTCACACATCCAGCAATAAAAAAAAGTTTCAAGCATCCCTCTTTTCTTTCACTGCACCACATTGCCTGATCTCAGGGGAGTGAGCAGCAGTTAAATTAAGAGCATCAAAAAATAGAAAGAAGGAAGACACCTCTTCCTGAAAATAGCAGCCAGGACAACAGAGAAGAGAAGAGCCAAGGAGAGTGTGGGATTGAAGAGGATGGGAAATGAGGGCATCCATTCAACTTGTGCTGAATCGCCTTCAGAGTCCAGCAAGTAGGAGGCGAAGGCATCTCCTGAGAATGAGAGACAGATGAGATCAGCTTAGGTAGGTGGGAAGTGAACATGGTTGGCTCTAATAAAAAATAAAAATAAATAAAAAAAAAAAAAAACCAAAGGTTCAACAACATGAATCAGGTCCCTAGATGTGCCAGGCACTATGTTAAGTACAAGGATGAAAAGATGAATAATACATGATCCTGCCCCCAAGCAGTCCAAGTGCCTGGAAAAGAGCTGCAATATGCGAGGTGAAGGTTATCAGTGACCTAATCTCAAATTTGATGAATTTGTTACTGTTGTTTAGTAAAAGGGGATAAAAATTTCAGATAATATGAAAATCACTGATCAAAGAAGTTCCGCTCAAACCTCTGGCACTCCTTTGTTTAGCCAACAAATATTTATTGAACCCTGACTACATGCCAGGCACAGCGTTAGCTACTGGCTACATAAAGATAAATAGTGCAGCTAAATATTTAATCAGGAGATCTATAATATCACTAAGCTCCATTGTTTTGCAATCAGATTACAGACTATCGACATGATCTGTATATCTATTTTCATTAGCAGTTTCCAATATATACTGCAGTTGTTCTTTTTCAACAGGCTCATAGATTTTTTTTTTGCCTATATTTTAAATTCATTTACAGATGTAATGGGGGTTACTTGCTATAACTTTCTTTGAGAATTTAACTTTATTACCATGATCTATAGCTCTAAGAATGGAAATCCTCTGAGTATGTTATTGTTTTATTACCCACCAGACATAGTTTTTCTACGTTAGTTACTGAAAATTTTCATGACTACAAATTCTTTTTGGAATTTGTGATAATTTATGTATGTGATGGGTAGCATTTATTTCTATCTTATGCATACAGTATATGCATTATAAAATATCATAACAGTGTTTAAACCAGGGTTTCTTAATTTTGTCACTTCTGATATTTTGGGCCAGCTAACTTTTTGTTGTGTTGAGCTGTTTTGTGCATTGTAGGATGTTTTATGGCATCCCTGGCCTCTATCCATTAAACTCCAATAGCACCACCCATCCTCATCTGTGACAACCAAAATTGTCACCAGATATTGCCAAATGTCCCCTGGGACACAAAACCATACTTGAAATCAAATTCTAAACGGAATGACTATGTCAATTTAGTCCTCACAATCCCTACAAAATCTTAAATCAAGGTTTATTTAGTAAGAATTTAAGATTCTACCACCCGTGAAAAGTTGCAACAGTACATTTTCGGTTTGCCTGAACTCTAACAACTACACTTCACTACCTCTCATGTGGAGGCATTCAGGACATCAGTGCTCTGTAACTTCAAATGAAAGGTAGGATTTAATTTTGCCTAGAGTCACTTGTTGATTTTTAAATAAGAAATGAGAGGGCCGGCCCAGTGGCGCACTTGGTAGAGTGCGGCGCTTGGGAGCGCGGCGGCACTCCCACCGAGGGTTGGGATCCCATATAGAGACCGGTCCGCTCACTGGTTGAGCGTGGTGTGGGCGCGACACCGAGGGTTGGGATCCTGTTACCGGTCACGAAAAAAGACAAAAGGGGAAAAAAAATAAAAAAGAAATGAGAGAAAATATATCCCTGCTTCAGAGTGACCCAGACAAAAGCAACTGGAAGCCCAGCACCCCTCACCAGAGACATAACTCAGGAAGAGCCTAGTTTTCAGAGGATGTATCTGCTCCTCTCCCTCCCGCTTTCCTCCTTCCTCATCCTGACCATTCCAGTCCCCTGAAATGCACGCTCTATGTTTTAGCACAGTGACTTGAATAGAGTCAGCATTTCACAGCTATGTATTAAATTGAATTAATTGGAAAACACTTGCTTTTCAGATTTCTCACCAGGTACCCAATTAACCCAAGAAGTTGCTGAACTCTTTTGAATACTTAAAACTATGCTCATTGTGAGGTGGTGGAGGGAAAAGAGAAGGGGTCCCTCTTGCCTTCAGGAAAGACCGGGTCTGACTGTACGGAGGGTCAAGTTATAAGCAGAGAAAACCCAGAAATCACAAGACTGAAAATGAACAAGTAGATGAGATAGGGTATGTGATGAAAATCAAGACAGGGTATGTGATGAAAATCAGCCCTTAACCACCAGGTGACCTTTGGGCCCATCAGCCTTTCCGGGTCTCAGTTTTTCATCTGTTAGTACGTATGTTCTAGATAAGGCTGTGTTGTTTGGGGGTGAGGCAGTGTACCCCTAAATGGACTCCCGGCACCCTGTGTATTGTCTATGGTGGATGCCCAATTAGTGGATAATTGAGGCCTAGGCAAATAACAATTTTTAAAGTGGACAGTATCTACCCATACAGCACTTTACAGTTTGTAATGCACATTCATATGCATTATCTCATTTGATCCTCATAATGATCTCATAAAATTGGCCAGAGAATTATTATTCCCATTTAAAGGATGATGAAACTGAGACTTGGAGATGCTGGTCAGCAGTGGAGTTGGAACACTTCTGAAACACAATGTGCTTTTCCTTCTTCATCTTGATACCTCTTAGGAAACATGAAGAAATATTTCTCTCTTCCCAATATATCTCCTCTTTAGATTTCATCATCAGCTTAAATTGCCTCTTCAGGGACACTTTCATTAAACCCCTACATGCAGTGGGTGTCCCTCCCATGTGTTCTCAAAGCATCCTGAACTTCACTCTTTGTGGCACTGATCACTCTGAATTATAATTGCCTAATTATTTATCAGTTTCTACTACTAGACTGTAAGCATCTTGAGGGCAGGGCCTGGATCTTATTCAGTGTTTCATCTGTGAATGTCTCTCCCAGTGCTTGGTGATGGGTACTCTGTAAATATGTATTATATTAACTGAACAGGAAAATTCAGAATAAGATTTGGGGAGTTCCTAATTACATGGAAACCTAAATGTCAGAACTTAATTACAGTTTCTCTCTCCACAAATAATCTTAGACATTGTTTCTGGACTTTAAAGGAACTAAGTAAATTATTCGTGTTTTAGAAAAACAATTTTCATCTCTAAAATGCAAAATAGACCATATTTACATTGGAAGCTTCAACCCAGTACCCTCATGTGTATGCTGCCACAATTTTATGAAAATAATATTGGGTAAGTGGATGGATAAGCTGCTAAACCTTAAATTAATGTGTGTATACTAGATTTTCTGTTAATTAGCCATCAGACTCAAAGATGCAAACAACTTCCAATAGCCAATTATGTAGGAAACACCATGACTTATGATTTTTAATGTTTTTGCCATATTTAAAGAGAATAATTAGCATTACCCAACCACAAACTTTTGGTTCATTTATATAATATTCACAATGTTCCCCTTCCAGATCATATTTATCTTTGTGAGATTTTAATTTTTAAAAGATCAGAATAGGAAAGAGAAATTTGTATCAAGTAATATTTGGAACAGGAGGGTGCACGGCTTAAATCATTCATGCTATTTTTTTGCTGTATGCTTCCATGTTTTGAACATCCTTAAATAAATGAAAGAAAGGGTATTCCAGAGATGCTGACAATGAAAAGGGAGAAGAAACTGTTTACTAAGGTCAAAAAAATTGGGTTTTCCTTCAAAACAAGGCAAGGGCAAAAGGTATTTAGCAAGAGCCTCTAAAGTTTGGCTTGCAGCACATTTCAGTCTATGTGCAATTTAAGATCTAAATCAACCCTTGGTCTTGATTTCTTTTGGAACACACAATAGGATCTTCTGGCGACGACAGGTTCACTTGATGGCGGGGATTCGGCCCAGCACTATTACCAGCTCCTTCCCCCAGCTCATGTCCAATGTGGATGCAGCTTATGAAGTGGCTGAGAGGGGCACTGCTTACTTCTTCAAAGGTACCCTACAGATCCCTCAAAGAGAGAAATGGCAGGGGCACAGTGCCCCATCTGTTTGGCATATCCAGGACTGACAGACTTTGTTCAGTGATTGTGGAACATGTTTTGATTGCTTCTTCTCAGGTTTGGTAAAAATTCCCCCATACTGTGTTGTAATAATGAAAGTAATGATGGTGATATCAAACTGTTCTTGGAACCAAGCCCTTTAGCCTAGAGAGGCACCATGCTAGGTGATGGTGCCCAAGGAGCTAGAAACCTGGTCCCTGCCTCTAGGACCTCTGCTCAGAGTGATATAGCATGCTCTTTGTAGAAGCTTTAATTAACAAAAGCCAACATGGAACCCAATGTGAGGTAAACAATCTCCTTGCTGCTATGCCTTACTCAGAAGCAACCAAGAGAGGAAGGATGCCCTGTGACTTCAGGAAGTGACATATGTAATACCAATCTCTGGCTCTGGCCCTTTACTATTTGAGTGACTTTGGGAACTTATCTAACTTCTCTGAACCTTTATTTCTTCCTCTGCAAAGAAATTATAGTATTATCAGCCTTGAAGGTGTGTTGTGACAATGACTAGCCAATGGAGGTTATCCAGTAACTTGATGCTGAGGGATAAGGGTAGAAGGCTGGTGCCAATTTAAGCATTTGCATGCCACGTCCCCTTCCCTCTCATAGGTACGTATATAAAGATGAAATGAGATTATAAATGAAAAAATTAATGTGTTAATGTAAGACACAATTGTATAAATAGTACCACTTCCTAGGACTTTTTGCCTTCAGCGAAGTTCGAAGTCTTTTACTGAATTAAATAGTTTAAGGCTTATGTCTCCTATTGGGTTACAGTTACGGCAAATATCCCGTGAACTAGCCCCACTCACAATCTTGCATAGAAATCTTCATGAGTGAAATGCATCACTAACTGGTACAGAGTTTTTATAATTTTAATTTCTGTTTTCAGGGCCCCACTACTGGATAACAAGAGGATTCCAAATGCAAGGTCCTGCTCGGACTATTTATGACTTTGGGTTCCCAAGGCACGTGCAGCGAATAGATGCTGCCGTCTATCTCAAGGAGCCACAGAAGACCCTTTTCTTTGTGGGAGATGAATACTACAGGTATGGCTTTTCTCCTTTTGATTGTCCAGATGTATTCATGGGAAGGGGAAAAAAAATCTTTTGCAGGAAAGAATGCAAGGCAAGTTTGCAACAGGCCCATTGACTCTTTTCGTCCACTGAGGTGCCATGTACAGATGATTGACTATCTTCAAGATACAGAACCATCCAAATGATAAGTGAAACATTGATTTGATAATCCCATTGTTTGGTCTCTAATACATCAAACACCCTGATCTTTCAATGCACTCATTAACTGGACCCCCCAGTGGCCTAAAAAAGTGCAGCATCCACAAATATTTAACTACCCACTTGGAATGCCTCAGGGGGAGGTGACTGTGCTGTTATGTGAGCATCAATGCATTTCAGAATACTCTGTGATTTGGGCCAAAATGAATGTGGTCGTGACTATGGGACTGTTTGAAGGAAAGTTCTGCTGAAAGGAAATGGCCTTATAGCTATGCCCTTTTATCCAACTTAGACATGAAGATTCTTCTGATCCAAAGGGAACCACATATAATTTCCATGCCTGTCCTTCAGGAGCTTATCACAGGCAGATCTGAATAAGGCATGATCTGTCATCCAGTCACTGAGCACAGGGTCATACCTTATCTCACCTACTGAGTTTCTGTCCTTAGTTGGCTGATGTTGAGGAATGAGTGCACCTCTTTGCCAAGCTCCTTCAAAGACCACCTCTGCCTCTGCACACATTCCCTCTGTTCCCACTTCTCTCTTTAGCAATGCCTGTTTCCCTGAACTTCAAAAGAGAGAAGCAAAAACAGATTTTCAGCATATGACCGTGCTAAATACCTTAGGCCCATGAGAGAGTCTGGATGGAAGCAGGAGACCACCCAACTTTGGTCCAGGGGCTGCCATTTTATTTTATATCACCTATTTTAATAACCATTTATGTGGCATAAAAGAAATTTACAAGTAAATATGTCATTTTCTTCCACCTGACCGATATCATCTTCCCTGATTTCGAGCTAAGAAAGTAATGTAACTGGAGCACACATATATTTCATGACGAGGAAAAATTATTTCATAAAAAATAATTCTAAACAAATGTGGAGCCTACTGACTCTTCAGGGCCACCGAGAGCCCTGGAAGCATCGCTCAAAGTATTATGTGGTGTCATGAGTTGTCACTTCCAAACCAGCATGTAAATAACTAAGCTAAGTATTTTCCTCTCAGACCATCCTGGGCAGAGGATGATTCTCCCAAGGCTTTCTATAAGATAAAGTGGCTATCATCTCAAGAAGATAGGTATTGAAAAATCTGATTCCCCTTGTGATTTTCAGGGAACAAGGTCAAGAGATGCATGTATAAGCATGTGGGGGGGGAGTGTGAGGGCATTTATGTTAGGATTATCCAGTTAATTTGTAAAGAGTGTTCACAGCCTGATTCTCATTGGTGAGATTATCCACCCTCCCATTATCTCTCTTCTCCATTTATCACCTGGTGTTTGCACTAATCTACCACCTACCAGCACCCACAGTAAAGCCTATATCTCCAGTCAGGTTGGATTGAGGCTTAATAGCTAAGGCAAAAGTTGAGGGTAGAAGTTCAAAAGTCTTTGTAAAATTTAGGTTAGGAACAGACAGGGTCTCCGATTTTAATGATGCCTGATGTCCCCAGAGGAAACAATACTGTACCTTTCCAACTGGGCCTCTGTGAGTGTCTACTAAGGAAAAGTCTTTCATAATCTAGATTTAAAAGATTCATTAAAAAGTTGGTCTGGGGTATTAATTCAAATGTTAACAAGCTCATTTTGCTGATCGCAAAAGGAAACCAGTGTAGGCATTTTTAGCCTGCCCAGGTTTGAGAGTGTTAAGTGATATAATACATGCAGATGTCCAGCGCAATGTCTGGCACATAGTAGGTGCTCAAAAAAGAGTAACTCTTCAGTAATAGTAAGAGCTTCTGTGATAATTAACAAGTAATTGCCTAAAAAGTTGTAATAATTAACAACTGATTGCTTAAATCTCGATATTCCTCTAAGCAGAAAGCCAGTCAAAGAGCTGGTCAAAGGGAATTTCCTTTTCGAAAGGCCCCTGCTGTTGGACTGAAAGTACTACTTTTGGCAAAATGTAGACAATCCCTTCAACATTGGGAGTCTTCCACTTTACACACACTAACACACACACTGATGTATGCACTACGGAGTAAGACAAACAGCTCAAAAGTTCAGAAAAAGCTATTATATCTGCCCTATTAATAAACCTCCCTGAATTCTGCACATTGTGTTTTGCAGGGCCTCACGTGTATGACATCTTATTGTCATGCAAAGCCCTACATTGGTTAGAAATTGCATTCAGCTGCTAGTAACAGAGACCCAAAAATTGTTGTGACTTAAACACATAAGGGTCCATTTTTCTCACATATGTAAAAGTCTGAAGTTTAACAGATTAAGAGTCAATGTGGTGGGTCTGTGGTCACTGGCGACCCAAGTTCCTTCTAACGTTTTACTCCACTATTCTCAATACGTGGCTTCCATTCTCATGGCTGCCTCATGATTTGAGGTGGTCAACGTCCCTACTTCAGATGGAGGAAGCTGGGGGTGGGGGGGGTAAAGCAAAGGAAACAGAACTTTATAGATAAGCATATGGCCACACTCAGAAATACAGAAGGCTGCAAGCCTCAAGTTACGGAATAAGAATTTTACTATATTGACATCCACTGACAATGTTAGGTCTTATTTCTTTTAGTCATTGCTCAGGTTCTTCCTTTGTCCTCATGCTAGATCAGCCTGCAACACAAATAATGTGTCAAGGGAAGAAAAGTCTCTGGATATCAGGGAAATTCTCCATGAACTCCTAGAGTTTGGGCCCAATGTCAGTGAATGAAATCCTGTGAGAAACGATTGAGGAACTTTCTCCATAGAGAACTGAAGGTTGGCTTGGGGCCAGATTGGTTTAGGCTCTCAGATGAGAACCCATGTGTCAGTGTATTAGCAACTTACAAGGGAGCAGCACACAAAGTGAAATCCAAAAACAAGGTTCTACCATGTTGATGTCATTACATACCACATCACCAAATGACCTATTGGTTAAACTGCCACCCAAAGGGGGCTCCTTCCCCATACATCCATTCACTTTTATTCCTTCCTTTTCTCTTTCTAGCAGGCCCTAATGGTTCAATCAGCTTTTCTTTCTTTACATTACTTCCACTATCTGTGTCTAATTTCTCCCTGTAGATGTTCTCCCTCACCAACCAATAGCAGAGTAGTGGCTACATCAAGGGGTTATTGAGGGCTGGGAAGGGGGGACCATCACTTCCATCATTCTTTGAGATAGATAGTCAATGATTTCTGAATTTTATGTAAAGTGATTTTATGTAAAGTGATCTACATGTCCCATCCTTTTTCAATCATATTGCCACCCCAAATGACTGTTTCTATAGAGATAGACTGGAGGCATCATTACTGCAAAGTAGGAAACATCTCCCATATTTTCTCCTTCCTGAATGCCCCAGGAACACTGGAAAGGGGTATTTTTATTTAAGGATTTTATAGTTAGTCACCACAGAGAAATAAATAGTAATTAGTAAAAATAAGCAAGATGAAGTAGAGTTCAAAATCTTTTTTAATGTCTTAAATTATCACCAAACTACTAAATTCAACCAGCATTAATTGGGCATGATTATGTGTCTGGCTCTGTACTAGGCCCTTGACACTCAAGAGAAGGCATAGAGTTTTCTGATTAAGAGCATGGACAGGAGTAAGAGAGTCCCGGTGTTAATCTCGACTCTACCGGCAACCACCTGACAATCTGGATCATCTTTCTATCTCAGTTTGATCCTCTACAAAACAGAGGTGAAAATAGTACCTACTTCAAAGAGTTGTGGGATTGAATGAGAAAAATGTGAAATGCCTATCACAAAATAAGCACTTATGTTGGGTGCTATTAATGACCTCAACAGGTCTTACAGTTGAGAGTAAATATATATATAAATAATTAACAGAATCCAAGTGCCAAAAGTGCCCTACCAGAAGACTGCATGGAGATCAATGGACCAAAACAAAGAGGAAACAGCCAACTCTGGCAAAGGTATCAGAAAAGAATTCTTAGAGGAAATGATGACTGAGCTTCATTTTGAGAGTTGTGTAGGAGTTTCCCAGGCAAGGAGTGGGGTGGGGGTGGGTGGCTTCCAGGCAGAGAGAGCAATTGAAGCAAAGGCACTGATGCACAAAATCGCCTGCAAATGTGGGGAAAACCTCGAGCAGTTCAGTATGACCAGAACATGGACTAAAAATGAGAGATGTGGCCCAAGGAGAGAAGAGGATCAGGGGAGGCCAGTGCCTTTCTAGAAAGATCAATGTTTATTCTGTAAAAAAGAGGGGCATGTTTAAATATCTTAAATAAGGGAGTAACCCAACAAGATTTGTGTTATAAAAATATCACTCTGGCAGCAATGTGACTGGACAAGAAGGACAAGACTGGAAGCCAGCTAGACTAGTTAGGCAGAATGCAGTAGGAAGCGTATTCAAAGTACTCAGAGAAAAAGCTTTCAACTAAGAATCCTATATCTAAGAAGGGATCTTTCAAAAGTGAAGGATAAATAAAGACATTCCTAGATAAACAAAAACTGAAAGAATTTGTTGTTTGTAGACTTGCCTTACAAGAGATACTAAAGAAAGTTCTTCAGGCTGAAAGCAAGTGGCCCCCGGTAGTAATTCAAACCCACACAGAACACCAGACAGCACCAGTAAATGTTATTATGTAGTTATAAAAAATAGTATAAATGCATATTTCTTTTTTCTCCTCTTAACTGGTTTAAAAATCAATTATATAAAACAATGTGTATAATTATACTGTTGGGGCTATAACATGTAGAAATGTAATTTATATGTCAATTACAGCACAAAGGAGGTGGATAGGAGCAAAACTGTATTAGGCTAAAGAAATGACAGCAGATGGAACTCAAATTCACAGGACAAAAGAAGAGAACTAGAAATGATAAATAAGAAGATTAATATAACAAAAGCTGCAAATGCATACTTG